GACGCTTTTTTACTGAGCAATAGCTTTGATTGAACACACTAACTTAACTGAATACCTAAGGTATGAGTGAAAATGGGAACCCAAATGTCATGCTTCCTAGGTGGAACTTTTTCCGCACGTGGAGTTGTATTTCCATTGGAAAGATGCACAAGACAAAACCATCTTCATGAAATATCGTTGTCTTCGTTTTGACTTGAAAGAATGGAATGAGACAAGAATACCGACGCGGGATAGCTCGAATAGGTAGGTGATTGCGTTGACTACCGGTTGTCTAAAAAAATTCTCCATTTAAATTCAAATTTCCAAAAAGTTTAAGTGGCTCAAGGTGGTGGACTTGGATCTGCGCGATATCTAGTGCGTAGTATTCTGGGCCACTTTTTATCTCTCATTTGTTTTACAATTTTACAGACACTGGATGCCATCATTTATGAAACATCGCCCTTTGCTCGGTGGTCGAGATTTGATGAGACCGCTACTTTGTGCTAGCGACGAGGTGCAGCAATTTGGTGATTGTCAAGTTCAAGGTGCCTTTTTGCGTCATCACCATTGCTCACGGTTATTTAGGAATCAAATTTGACGGAACGTTACTATACTTTATGCTCAAAAATGTCACCAAAGAACAAATGACGGCCACGTTTTTGCGTTGGGAACCATACAAAGCAGGGTTGCGATTCCTTTACCCCGGTCACGACAATCGATATTATATTGGTAGAAAGGTAATGGGCAAACAGACCAATTATTGTCCTTAAATCCTGGCTTATTTTATAGCATGTCTTCACTTCGGGGCAAACCACAGAAATGGGGATCAGCTTTCGAAATCCACGTTGCCTTCAGAAACTAGATGAATGGAAAAACATGGTTGTTTCAGTTTGGTCTTACTGTTTATGTTTACTTTCTTAGCCATCGCCACAAATTCCATACGTGCTCATTGAAATAAAATCGAATACCAAGGCCTTCAACTTTTACGTCGCATTTAACCTCATAAAAAGGTTTGTCGAAAAGATCTTACTAAAATTTAATTCGTTTCAGTACATGGATGCCCTCGTTTACTACTGAAGAACCTTTCACAGGCCCATTCAGGACAACAACAACCCAACGGGCAGTCTCGGGTTCAAATTCTCGTGAATTCACTCCGCGACCTCCTCGCGTTAGGCCTTTTGAAAGAGGAAGTGGAGCTTCTCAACCATTTTGACACAACAGCATTCATTCCAATTGCAGATCTTGGAACTAAAGTTCATTTCTGTAATACAAGCATACTTTAAACACTAGCATTAGCCCAACTGATATTCGTATAAGCTATTCAGCTAATATCGCCATTATTTTGCCTCAAATTGTTGTCCTCTTTCTTTATATGCTTGTTTCGTTTGTTTATTCACCTATCCAGTTATTTTTAAGGTTTCATAACGGTTAACGGCGAGCGCAGCGATTATCGGCGCGCGTCCATTTTTTGACCAACTTGCATCCCGCTTTTAGATTGATTTATGTTGATAACTTTTGATAAAACGAATAGCTTCTAAAAGTTAACGTTCTAAGCCATCAAAATCGTATTATCATTTCCTGATCTGGCAAGTTTAAGGTGCTTAAAAATGAGCTACAAGTAGGCCAAAAAATTGACCACCGCCGACAATCGCTACCCCCGCTGTTAACCGTAAAGATCCCATAAAGCAATTATGCCATAAGCTTTTCTCATAAAAGTGATGTCGAGAATCTTTTTCAAAATTGCGAGTGATCAATGGCATTGGAGCCAGAAAGGTAAACAAAACATTGCTGGTTTCGCGTAAAATCACACCCGGCAATAAAGTTTTTTTTAACGTTTTTTCTACGCATCAAGAACAGGCCATATGCTGAAATCTTTTTGAAATTCTAAAATGAAATCAATGTCCGTGTCGTTGTACAATCCTCCACTGGTGATCCATTGGTGATTAACAAAATAAAGATCGGACCTTCTCAGCGTGGCCAGTGATGGCTGAGAAAAATCCTGACACGTAACATTATTGCGATTGTGGTTATTTTGTTTGGCATTTCTGCATCTTTGCCTCGCCAACAAGCTGACATGCAAATTGACCTTTGACATCTTACTTCATCATTGAATTTTAGTATATTTTATCCTAGTTTTCATATGGTTTTATAAACATAAACACTATATAACGGAATGGAATTTTGGTCCAGCTCGAGGCTAAGCTATATACAACGGCATTCTCTAGAATGGAAAGCACTAATGCTTTTATATGAAAACTTATAATTCCAGCCTTTTGCCAATGATTCTATGCCCACCAAAGCCTGCAACCGTCACGAAAGAGCTTGGAGTAAGCGTATTAGGCTTTGTTAGCAATGAGCAGTTAGTATTTCGACTACTGTATCCATTCTAATAGTTTTACAGGTTATTAAAGTCGCGTACTATTGAATACCATAAGTTTTTCCCAGTTCATGAGCTTAATGAAATAGTTGCACTCTTTATTCGCATCAGAGTGAATACGGTAACTATTTTGTTAGTGTTAAGCAATCTAAGGTGATCTAAAGTGCAATCGCTATATTTTTACCAAAGATATCGCAGAAAATTTCCATTTATTCTGTTTGGTTCTGTGGGGCAAAGATGCAGAAGTACCATTTTTTTAAAAACAGTTTACCAAAGAGTTCGTTTAGACTCTTGCTCCATAGTTTAAACTTCAAAAAAAGCTGTTATGCAAGGAAATAGTCTTGAGAGAAGAGAGAAGGCTGAGTCATCGCCTTTCCCATAAATCAATCTTCGAAAGGGCGACCTTTTTCTTTCGATTTCAAATTGTTTGGTTCACCTATTGGACAACCTACTTAATCCATCTGATTTCCTAATCATAAACTCTCTCTATTTACATAATTTTTATCTGCAATGCAAAGAAAGCGGCTTGAAAGGGAACTGAAAAGAATCGAAGAGGTTGGTGATCAAAAAAAATTTCAAAGTAACATATAACTTGAATATTTCTCTGAAGAACGATTTTAGATTAGCTTGGCAAGTCATAGACGATTATCTTAGACAACAACTTGTCTATTTCATAGACCGCAAAAAAGAACATTAATCCAAAAGGTATTCTCCATTATTATCGATGACTTCTTGCCATCTTTGACGCAATTCCTTGATATTATTCTCAACAAACTGAGCGTCCTTCTGAGCAAAGTAGAAATCAAGTGCATTTTTGACTTGAGCTTGATCATCGAAATGTTTTCCATAGAGAAAACATCGAACATTTCTGCCAATTCCTGAATGTTTCCTGAAAAGCATCATTTTATTCTTCACTCAACTCAAAGCATTTGGCTTCTCGCGAACATTACAGAACAATTTCCCATCAATGCCGTGGCCGATGATGAGCTGCTCTTCGGTGTGTCCTTTCTTGATTCGCTTCCTCGCCGCGTGTTTCTCATCCCAAAAACATTGCTGGAAGAGGAACGGATAGACGAGTGGCAGTACTCCACCCGAAGGAATCGTGCTCTTCGCGAGTAATCTCGACAATTCCTCATCATTTCGAATCGACAACTGCAGGTGCCGGGGCAGAATTCGACGTTTCTCCGCGTCTCGCGATACGTTTCCCGACAATTCCAACAACTGGAAATACTTTCTATTAAGTACTCGAGATGATTTGTTCAAGATTTGGTATTTATTCCTTTTCTATAAGATCGCGAGCAGTTCTTTAGCTTCTGGCCGATCTTTACGTTTCAGATTCTCGTCAAAAATGCGCCTGACTTTGAATTTCTCACTTGGTCTAGGTATTTCTGTGTATGCACACTCAATAAGTATGGGGAGACGCAAAGAAAACAAATATAAGATGCTCACCTCAGCAGTCATATACTCCAGAACGGCTGCCAAATAGACCGCAGCACCGGCACCAATTCGGAGTTTCGGATTTCCCTAAAGCCCTCTAAAGCTCATCAGTTTTGTGTGATCCATTTGAGCTGATATTAGCCTAACAGCTATTGCCAATAGACAAAAATTAAGTTGATTGATCAATTTAACCAAAAAAACGATCTCACCAGGAAAGAACAAAGTGTCTAAAAACAAAATGCAGATTTGGTAAATATTATCCCGCTTCTATCGCCAACCTTTCGCAAATATCGCTCACAACGACTGACAGGAAACGTTAATCCGGCTCTCGTGGATCGCGATTGTCGAGTCGTTTTCTTCTTGGCTTTTTTGGCCAATCTTCCTCCTCTTCCTCCTGGTGGCATCACAGAAAATAGATGAAAATGTTTAACAGAATAAAAAGCTGTTGAATAATGGATATCAATCGAATGTTCCTTTAGGAATACAGCTAGAAGAATCCAGCTTTTTATAGAAGAAAAAGCTAGAAAAAGTCGAGTCGATTTTCCCGTCGAATCCTGTCAAAATGGCTGGGAAAAAGGGGGAAAAGGACGGTGACTCATTCCGCTTTTCCTAGAAGTTTTTACAATAAGCCTTTTTTGCAGGAAAGGCAGAAGAAATGAAAAAAAACAGCCACTAGCTAAGTGTGTAGTTGGTAATAAATATGTATGCTTGAAGAAGTCCGAGAGTACCTGTGAAAGCTGTTGAACAAAACGAGGCAAAGCCGAGACTTATTCCTCAGAAATTAGCATACAAAACGGTCAAATATTGATTTAAAAAGCTTAGTTTGCATATTAATTTTAAATAAAAACAACTTTTTCGAATTTTTATTTTTTCCATCTGCAAAGTTTATCGAAAAGTTATTAAAAACAAGGATTAGGTCGGTCGGACTGCAAATGGTTGGTTTTTCTTTTTTTTTTACTAACTTTTGCCTAATTTTTGAGAATTTAGGTTCACTTAAAACAAAATTGGTGCCAAGAAAAGCTCAGTTAACATCACTTTCGTTTTTTTTGGTCAGAAATCAGATGATCCGATCGAAATTTCATCGGATCGGCTTCAATTTGATGGAGATGTCATCAGATAGGATCGGCTATACTTGGATAGCAATCTAATCCAATATTATCCCATGAAATCTGATCGGATTTCAAGTCTATTCGAAACTTTCCAGCCCATGATGTTTTGTGTGATGAATCAGGCCATGTGTGCCTACAAGGAGTCAAATGGGATTATTCTCAAATGGGATTACACTTTCTTCAGCGCTACAGCTATCAATTGGATTCCAATAACTGGTAGATTGACGCGTTCAGTGAGAAATTCATTAGAAATAAAAATTCTCCTTATTAAAAGATCTTTAATTTTTGTGAAACTCGAAAGAGATTTGACAAAAGAATTCCTGTCAATTATTTATGAAATTCTCAAAACGTTGCTGTGCATTTAATGGAAAAAAAAAACGATCACTTCCAAACTTATGATTGTGATTCTGCAAAAAAGCACAAAAACATGCAAAAATCAATCAGAAAAAACTGTTTTTTTGGCACAAGAAAAAGGAGAATTTTTAGTTTCTAGAGATAAGGGAGTCGTATTCTGCCAAGTCCTTTCAACTGTTTTTTCGGCTAACTTTAAACCACACTTCTTCTTCGTCAACAAAGGTCTTCTTCGTCTTAAAGTCTTCTTTTTAACAACAAACAGTTTGAAATCATATTTTCAGGAAGAAAATGGTACTTCGGGAAATAATTCACCTGTTAACTGAGGAAAATAAAATTAGCAGTGGAGCTTTTGGAGCTGTTTACCGTCTTGAACACACAGAACCGTGAGTGTTTTTTTTTTAAATCACAACCTCAATTTTTAAACTTAATTACTGAATACGTTTTATTTTAATCAATACGCGAAAGTTTTTTCCTTACTGTAGTCAGGTTTTCAAGCAAAATGGCTCTTGCGTAATTTCCGGGGTTTTAAACGGATCGTCACTCTTTGAAGTCACTTATAACTTTGTTCAGAGATAATATTTTTGTTAACTTTTTATATCATTGTAGAGAGGACATTCCAGGCTTTCAAATGATACCAAATAGGCCTTGATTGGATCATCCAGTTCAAGAAAATCAAAGCCAACTTCGAGCAAACGAGGCCTATCCAACTCGGGTGTCGTGTCGCCTTGTTTGAATGGGAATGAAAAATCCAGTCAAGCTCTATTTGGTAGACCAATACTGCCTATGATGCCTATGAACGTTTTTTTACTATTTTGTTGCATTTTTTACTTTGGTTTTTATGTTATTATAACAAAAATAGCAATAATATTGAATTCCCCATTGATTTTCGTCAAATTTTGTCCCCTACACCCAAAAGTTTAGGCCTAGTGTCTTCAAATTGTTTCATCGGACTCCACATGCATCATCGGATTTAAAAATCGAATATACGGCACTCGAGAAACTGCGACACCCCAACATTGTCCAATATTTTGGTTTTCACGACGAGATCATCGACAATCATCACTACCGTGGCCTCCAAATGGAATACTGTCAGCATGGGGCGTTAAGTCAAAGTGATTTTAAATAAAAAACGAAAAAATTTCAGCACTTATTTAGTCATTTTTCGACCATCGATGATCTATACAATCTACACGGTTGTTCAATGGGCGGAGCACCTCTTCAAGGCGCTTGTATATTTGGAGAAGAACGGAAAGATCCATTGTGATATCAAAGTAGACAAGTAACGGAAAGATCTCTGGTTGTACCAGTGAAAATTTTAGCATATTGGTGAGTGGAGGCTTTGTGTTGAAATTGGGTGATTTGGGGCTCGTGAAATCGGTCATTGAAACCAGCACAGTCTCGATCCGGGGCACTCCACGCTACATGGCACCAGAAATTCTCTACAATAACGAGCAAGGAATCAAGGTTTAAAAAAGCTAATGTTAGGTACTTATAAAAGAATAAAAGAGGTCATAAAAACGATCATAAAACGACTATAAGTAAAGATGATTTGGGTTGATTAGTATTTTTAGCAATCACAATATCTTTTCTTTTTAACGGTATAAAAAAAATTCTGCAGTGATTGCTTCTGGGCAGAATATAGACGTTTCAAAAAGGTACCAAAAACCGCTTGACGGTGGCTTAAACTTATAAAAAAGAATTATTTTTGACGAAACCTTTGTCTATTGGGTTGGTGAATTGAAAACTGCGGGCTATTGTAATATGTGACAGTTTGAGCACTTTCTTCAAAAGAAACCCATTTTGGTGTCAATAGAAAAGTTGTAGAGAATCAAAAATTAAGCTTCTATCCAAATTTTCAGAACGATTCAAAAACTGGTTCTCAAGAAATGCCAAATTTACGGCTTTTCACAAAACTTGCATTTTAAGCGAAACTACTAAGTGTATCTTTTTGGAAATTTGGCTATAAGCCTAATTTTTGATTCTCTACAACTTTTCTATTGACACCAAAATGGGTTTCTTTTGAAGAAAGTGCTCAAACTGGGACATCTCCAGTCCTTTTGAGTCTCACACTTGTCTCACACACAAACCAAAATCCTACTGCGAAAGACGAATCCGCAAATTGCCTGAAAAATGGGCAGAAGTGGTCAATAATAATGGAAATTATTTGGAATGGATTGATGGTTTTATGTTAAATAAATTTTTGTTCAAAGTCCCGCAGTTTTCAATTCACCAACCCAATAAATTATTGACAAATCAGAAACTCGAACTTAATCGAAGCTATTGGGTTGGTGGGTATGACTTGGGACGTTTTTTAAAATGAAATATTTCTTCAGTTAACAACTCTTCAAATCATGCGAGATATTTGCCATTATTTTGTATAATTTTCGCCCATTTTACTGGCAGAAGTCAAATGCTTCTCTCGTAGAGAATCTTCGGTTTTGACGCAAACCAATCTATCAGCCATTTTTTGACCTCTTCTTTGGCGTCAAAATATTGGTTCGCCAAATCATTGCTCATCGTCCGGAATAAGTAGTAATCAGAAGGTGCAATATCAAGGCTGTTTTGCCGAATAAACCATCACCTCCCATCCAAATGAGTTTATTTTAGTCATCTTCGATAAATTTGGTCTAGCATTATCATGTTGCACACTTCCTCTCATGCACATTTGGCTTGACGTCGGGTTCAGGCTCTTCCTCCTCAGCAACCCATTGGCGCCTTCTCCGAAAGTTGACAGTTAGAATCCATTTTCATACCCCGTCAAAATACCGAATAAAAAGATTTGCGCTCGTATCGAGAAAGATGAGTGGCACTGATTTCGAAGTCCCTAATAAGGTTTAAACCCAAGTGTATGCAATGTTCGAATATTACTGTATAATTACCTGATAACTCTTCTGCTATTTCGCGAAAAGAAAGCCTTTTGTTGGTTGGAACAACTTGTCATTTATCAAGCTTTGCAAGTACCCAATACTAAGTCAATGCCAATGCCTTAACTTGTTTTCAAAAAAATTGAAGATCGAAAAACTTTCAGAAAGACACGTCAAAGAGAGACATTTGGGGTGTCGGCCTAGTTTTATGGGAAATCGTTGAACGAAGGTAGGGAAAGTTTAGACTTGAAATTGTTAAACATTGTTAAACTGTTAAATTGTTAAACATTCATTCACAAGAACATTCACAACATAAACCGGCTTAAAAGTTCTTAATCCACATGCTTTAGAAAGGTGTTGGACAGAAGTCCAACGGTAGATTTTTGTATTTGGCTGTTACAAACACAAGAGTGCTTACAGTGTCCCGAAGACTTGAAGTCGATCATTATTGGGTTGGAAGCTTTTCACTTAATAAATCTGCTCAATTAATATTATAAGAAATAAATAAACAAGAAATAAACAAGTGAACAAACCAAGAACATTAATCTTTAAACATTAATCTTTAAACATTAATCATTAAACCAAGAATCGTTAATCAATCTTTAAAGCTCATTACAGATGTTTGTGCTACGATTACAAAGAAAGAGCAACTGCGGCTGGATGTTTGGAAAAGTGTTCAAGTCTGAAAGAGGTCTGCCTCTCGTTTTGATGTTGTTCAATACGATTTTTAGAAAATTACCAGAATTTCAAACGAAAATTACAAACGAAAATTACAAGAATTTCTTCCCTTCGATAACAATAAACAAAAAACACTCTTGAGGCCAATCGGTTTTGATGGATCTGAGGAATTGGTAGCTGTAGAGCCAAATGATGACTCTTTCCTCCCACCAGCCCCCTCCATTTTGAACCGATCTGCAATTTTCACAAAAGTTAATAATAAATCGAAAATCGACCAAAAAGAAGTTGATCCACAAAAAATTCTTGAAGAGAAATACCCAGAATTGAAGAAACTGCTTTCACTTCGACTAAAGGATCCAAAAATTGCTCGGCTTCAAGAATTTTTCCGACAACTTCCCACGGAACTCATTGTAGAATATGCCGAGATCGCGCACGAAAGAATCGTCGCAAAAGCTAAAGAGATCACAATTTTTGAAATGAAAAGGGAGCACAGGTCGAGCTTTTTCGAGGATCAAATTTTGGAGGACGAAGGTGATGGAGGAAGTGGTGGAGAGGAGATGGATTTGAAAGATGAGGTTGCATTTCTAGCCAGTGAAGCAGCGGAGAGGTGCTGCCTCAAACTCGAAATTCACTACTTTCGCGCCATTCGCTTCATCTGGACTTTCCGAGAGGGTAGCTTTGGAAATTGGTTTGTTCGAACGGAACTAAGCAATTTGATTGCCTTGTTTGAAGTGTGGAGATCAATCGTTCAGAAGCGTTTACATTTCCGCAGCTTTTTCTCAATGTCAACAAAAGAGGAATGGTTGTTGGGGGGAAAAATCTCCAACAATCGATGTCTATTTGTGCGCAAAGATTTGATGAATGCAAAGATCTGGCTTGGCTCGTGGCAAGACGAAGAAAGTTTTTTGGTGGCAGAGAGTGTTTACGGGAAACTGGAAGAGGCTGGAAGAATGATCTTTGTCCAGAACGAGTCCATCGACATTAGCATGATAATTTCAGCACTCGAGAGAATAAAATCACAAGTTGAGCTGTTCCTTGAACAAAGCAAAGCAAATTTGTATCCGATCAAAAATCCGAAAACAGTTTTCCGCTCAACAACACACGGTTTAGAGCTACCAGTTCCAGGCTATGTTTTTCAATTGAAAAGCTCACCCCAAGTGGAGTGTCCATGTGAGAGGAGGTGTGATAGATATGCATTTGCACCTGAGGTGTTGCTAGAATTGCCAGCATGTGCTGAGAAACGTGTAGCCGTCTATCATTTTTTCTACCTCATCTTTTACGAAAATATTGTCTTCAACAAGTTGGCTCCAGAGTTTATCAATAATAACCAAAATTTTCGAAACGACATAGCAGAGATGAAGTCAAAACCATACCAAAAGGCTTTTGGGGTGTCGCCGGAGTTTCTTTTTTGTAAATTAAAAGACCCAGAGAGAGAGCATCTCATTTTATTGGATTTTCCAGATAGCGATAACTGTAAAGTGCGATGTTTTAATGAAAATTTTGAGTTGCTCGAGCTCGAGGTATCGCCGGAGGAGCTCGATGTCAATAACTTTCATAAATTGAACATCTTTGAATTCATTGAAAATCAGCATACGAATAGTCTACTTAAATCGGTGGCTGCGATGTTTGAAGAGTTGGATGTTGAAGAGTTGAATGATCAAACTGAAGCGACGAGTCGAGCAAAACGAATCGCATACAAAGTCGGGAAAAAGTTGGTCGCCGATCATTTTGAAAGCAACGAAAAGCCAAGCTTTAATGCGGTACGAGAAGCAATAATGAAGCAAGCAAAAGCTGTAAGATTACCAGTGCAAGTCTGGGAAAATTTTACTACCGGGAATCCGTCTTCATCTGAACGACAAGCATCAAAAATCTATCATTTGGAAGTGCCAGCACACTCTGATGAAATCAAATTCCAAGCGTTTCTTGCTGAAATCAAAAACAAAGACATAAAGAAGTCGAAAGAAAAATACGGTACAGTGGATGATTTCAAGAAAAGACAAAATAAAGCGTTCGCGCTTGTCATTCAAACACTGTTTGATTGGAGTAATCGTTGCTGTTTAGGCTGTCTCATAAAAGGCGTTAAAGTTGTCAAAATTTTCAAGGAAATTCTCGCTTTTGCTGGTCCACACACCTATGTCACTTTGCGTGTTTTCTTGCACAATGAGACGAGTTGTGTGTACCTGGGTGAAGCCTATGGTCATCATCATTTTTGTGAACTCGACTTCAAGACTGCCATCATTTTAGATGGCTTCTGGAAATCGCTAGAAACTTTCCAAGCAAGAGATCCAATAACACGACAAGTCAAAGACATCGAGTTTAAAGGAATTGCAAAAGTCAATCTGAGTCTAATAAATAAACAATTAATCGAGCTGATGAATGAAGTGAAAAAACGAGCCTTGCAAATCAAGCACCCGTTCAAAATCAGCGAAACAGAAAGTTTTTTCCTTCTCGACTTACAACCGAATCAAGATTGTATCAGCTCAAATCCTGGGCCAAGCTCAAAAAGTGATGATCAACAGTTCAAACTACAGTATCTCAGCTATGCTCGTCTTTATCTTTCCCTCTGTCGCGTTCTTACTCAAGCACAAAGTCTACACGATTATTTGGATTTAATCAAAATAATTGTAGAGATTATTGAATTCAAGGAAATCGTAAAACGGGTTGATAATCGTTGCCCAAAACACTTTTTCTTTATAAAGCTAAACAAGGAGAGAAATGTTGTCATCGTCAACTTGCATCCATTTGAAAAAGATGATGTTGAGCACTTTCACGTGCTGCTCCTCGATCTCGACTCAATGTCGTTTTCCCGTGATGATTTTTCTTTTACTGAATTATTGCGAGCAAGCGAGGAAACGCCTTTTCATAAACTTCACCTAATAGAGTTTCTTTCTTTTAATTTAATTGAAAAGCTTTTTACCGTATTTTCAACAAACTATCAAAATCGTAATGATCTGTGTCCCTTTTTGAAGAACCTTTGCATCGAGTCGGACGACTTAGACTTGTACTTGTCGATGACTCTGGGAGTGTGTCTTGATTTTTTCAACGAAAAAGAACAAGGATCAGGAAGAGATCCTCATTTCAATCCACTTGAAAAGAAGAGCAAATCACCGATGAAGCTCGAATTGGCCAGGCAACTACTCTATGCTTTGAAAGCATTGTAAACGTTTATACGGCTTTATGCGCATAAAGTTTTATTGTTATTTGTCTTTACAATGGGTGAACAATAAATAACTTCATCAGTTTTTTTTAAAAATTGAACAAAAAAGAAAACTTCTTTTTTTGGTAACCCACAGTAACGTCATTGAGTGTGTTAGATCCGAATCCGAACTAAATCCTTGACCGCGCCACTTTACGTGTCTGTATCCCCAAAACTAGTGGGCCGATTTTGATGATTTTGGTGTCATTTTGTTGAGCAAGACATGTAGATACTGAAAGTGAAGTTAATTTAAGTAAAAAAAATGAAATTAGTTTGAATTGGGAGCCTTAAAAAGATTACTTCGGATACGAAGCAAGGACTCTAAGGTTTGACTTTTGTTTTTGCTTCTTTTAGGTCTACTTGTAGTTACCGTATTTTCTCTAATAGTAGTGCGCCGCAGCGAGCCGAGTTGGTGACTATTTTACGGTTTCCAAGCTTTTGCAGAAGCTCAACCCTCTAATCCTCCACTAGATCTCATCGTCAGCTACGTTTTCTGACCCCACATCGATAGGTTTGGATAAGTGGTTCTCGAGATTTCGAGCAATTTAGGCACTCAGGGTGAACTACTATTGGAGAAAATACGGTAGTCATTTTTTTAACTATTCTTGTCGGGAGTAATTTTGAAGAAAAAAAATTGCATTTTTGTCACCATAAAATGGCCGGTTTTTGAACGTATTCTTTTGGGTATTTTTTATGATTGAACAGAGCCGTAGGAGCTGACCCAATCATTTAGTTTGCGTCTACGGTAGAAACCCTTTCTTGTGTTCAATTAAGAATCAGCGCCAACAGCATGAGACTCCTAAAATTCGCTAAAATTCCCAGAAACTGTAAGTCGCAAATCTGAAAGCCACTGCTTGCCCTTGCTTTCGTTTGCTACCTTGCTCCTTTTATCAAAGAGCAAAAAAAAACAACGATTTTCTTTTTGCATCGCAATGCTAACAATTACATTTTTTCCCCGGCCGATTCGATGCCATTTTGCAGAGAAATTGCGCCGCTCCTCAACTCTCGTCAATAGACTCAGCCCAGGCAGCCAGGTTGTTTGTGGAGCAAGTTGGGTCGTTACTGCTCTGCAAAAAACCGCTGCTCGCTATTTTTCGTTACCCTTTTGGCCTATTTTGAATAGTTTTTGAACTGTTTTCTAATGTATTATGTAACAATAAAAAAATTGGCCTTGAGGGGCTCTCCCTACTCTATTTGAGCCGTCCTATTTCGGAGCCCTTCTACTTAAAATTAAGAAAATCGGGTGTTTTTATGGGAAAAGCGTGGTCAACTGCAGTGAATGCGAAGGGCAACTTTGTTAAATTTATTAGTTCAAATACTAAAACATTTACAAATCTTATTTTAACATAAAAAGTATAACTTTCATGATTCTTTGAGCTCTGTCGGGCCCCGGCCATCCAGCAGTGAACCTCTGGCGTTAACCGTGGCGTTAGCCGGACGTCCACTGCTGGATGGCCGTTAGATTCGTTCGTTAGATTTGTAAATGTTTTAGTATTTTAGCTAATAAATTTAACAAAGTTGCCCTTTGCATTCACGGCGGGCTGGTTCACTTCGACGTGACTCAATGTGGTCGACGTGGTCATGCGATGACACGCTATGAGTTCTATCGAAAGCACTTAATCAACGGCATCACACCCATTTATCACCAGATCATTCGCTCCGAATCTTAATTAGTTACCTGAGTTTTTTTTGTTGCTGTATGTATCTTATGTTTTTGTCGTTTTGTATGGGTGATCTTGCACTGTTGAACTCTAAAAACTACTGAACTTCTTTGTAACTGGCAAATGAAGATTTAAAAAGTTTTCTCTTTAAAATCAAATGCATTATAAGCAAATTATCTTGAGCTAAAGTTCATGCCTAAATAAAGAGAAATTTGTCAACGGACGAGCTAAAAATAGAAAATTTATTTGCTTTTGAGGCTGTGCAATGTCAATCAAAGCTTATCTTGCTTTTTGCAAATCTTACTTTTTTGGCAAATCTTACCAAACTTAAATCTGCATCTAGTGAATTTATTGCCAATAAAAGAGCTTTATTTTAGCAGTTCAAGTTTTTTTTGTGATAATATTGGGTTGGGGAGAATGAGTCGGCGCCCAGCTTTAAAGGGACTTTTTGCACACATAAAGCCTTCTTTAAACATACGTTTGGTTTCATCAAAAGGATCCACTATTTCTCTACAAAATCACTTTTGAGAGATTCCACAAAGCTTTTCTTTCGTGGAGTTTATGAACTTCGAAACGCAGCTGGTTAAAATGGCAAAGAGTCCGACTCATCATTTGAACAGTTTCTTTCACATAAACCTTCTTTGGTGTTTATATAAAAAAGATAGAGCACATTCAATTACTTAAGTTGCCAAATTTGCAGGAAGATCCCACCAATGGTTTTTTCTAGATCACAGTTTGTAGTTTTTGTGAAAAAATGGCTTTTTCTTGAGCGGAGGCGCTGTTTGAATTTTCTTTTAAATGTCATTTTGTAGAGAATTAGTTAACCATTCTACTGATATCAAACGCATATTATTTGACGAAGTCGAATAGAAGTTTTAGACATTTTTTTTCATTTTCGGCGCCGACTCATTCTCCCCAACCCAATAAATGCTATAATGATTGAACTGGCACCATGGATACGAAGTGAAAGCAAGAGTTTCAACAACAAGCCTATTTTTAGAGATGCTTTACGATTTTGACTTAAATTTGAATTTATTTGAATATTGATACAATTGGTTTGATTTCGACGAAAAAAATGCTTCTCAACAAGTCAGAGCGGGCAAAACTATTAGCCAATTTCTACAAGAGATTTTGATCATAAAGTGGATTTTAAAGTCCAAATTCTGTAGTGTTTATCGTAATAATTTTATATAAAATACCAATCTCAAATAAAGAAAATCCTCAATCAAAAGAAAACTCCAATTTATGATGTTAACTTATTTTGGATAGGACAATTTATCCGTGCGGCCGCGTAGCGCAGCTGGTTTAGGTATACAAGTGATTATACAAGTGATCTGCCGCAATTCAAAGACGAAAATAGCAAGAATGCTTATATAACATGGCGTCGATCCGGTGATGGATGGATTAAAGTTCAATCAAATGGAAAAACAAGTTCCGATGAAAGTATTCCAAAAGATATAAAAGGAATTGTAGTCATTGTAATGGAAAAATGTGAAATTTATTCATTTATTTACTGCGCTTTGTTAACTTTTTGTCAAAGATACCAACAATGCCTTTGTAAGGAAAACTTTTCTGTAACTTATGCAAGTTCTGATTGATTTAATTGTTAAAATAAACACGGAGATCAGATGATCTAAACTAAAAGCTCACCCTGTAGATAAGCCTACCGTAATTCCTTTAATAGTAGCCACCCTCCCAGTATAGTCACGTAGTCGCAAAAAATTTTTACTAAATCCTTTTTTCTAAGCTCCCATAATTTCTAAAAATATATGCTTAATATCAAAATAGCCCTGAATTTCAGCTTTCATTTGATACTTAAGCGCATATTGTAGCATAAACGGGTGGCTGGAAAAATGCGTTTAAAGTTAGACTATGCGGTTAGACTCCGACGATAGGGGAGCGCTACTATTGGGTTGTCCAGTTATGAATGCGCGTTTTCACTATTTTGTAAATTTCTCAAGATATCGAACAGTTGTATATGAGTGTTATATATCATTCGAAAGCTGACGATCTCCTCTACATTTTGGAATAAAAAAGTTTTTGAATTCATTCAACTTTTTGGGAAATTGACTGCACAAAGGGAGAGGTCGTTTTCGAGAAAACCCATTCCAGCTTAGCTATTCCTCAGGTTTTATGGTGTAAAATAACCGCCCAGAAAAGAAAAGAAAAGTAAAGATGCTTTGAAATTGTTATATTTTAAAAAAGTTGTATTGATATATCTATTGGCCAAACATCAAATGGTTAACTCAATTTGAGCGGAGCCAAAACTTGATCCAAAGGCACCCTTCCATTTTTTTGACCACCTTCTCTTCTGTGCAGTCAATTTTCCCAAAAGCTGAACAAATTCAAAAACTTTTTATATCAAAATGTAGAGGAGATCTTCAGCTTTCGAATAATACTCATATATATCTTTTTCTTGATTTCGGTATCTTGAGAAATTTAGAAAATAGTAAAAAACGCGCATTCATAACTGGACAACCCAATATATTAAGGTAGTTGATTACTAGAGTATAAAAATAAATTATGATTTTTGTTTTTATGCATTTGGGTTAGCAAGACATGCATAATTATAAGGCCATGATGTTTGCATAATCATGACATCTTTGTGTTGATGCATCAGTTCTCGACTTTTCTCAATTTCCTCGTCGACTTTCACCCAAAGCACAATTTTCTTCTCGGTGACTTTGAGACGTTTTCCTCGCCAGCCGAAGTACCGAATGAACATGCCACTAAATTATTTTCAGATAAAGTAACTTTTGTTTAGTAAACGTTTGTAATTTCTTGCCAAACCTTTTCTCATTTTTATCAGGAGCCCACGCTGATGACTTTGCGATTTTTCCTTTGTACAACATAATTTGACCACGTTGAAGGGCCTAGAAAAACTTTGGATTACGTGCTGAGGGATAGAATGAACCTGTATCAGTTGTTGCCTTGTGTCGAAAACGTCGAATTTCTGAAATGATGAAGTTCAGTTAAACACGTGACGTTCAAAGTAGTTTCTTCTATTAGTCTGGCAAGTTGAAATTTGGTACACTTAGAGATAACAAACTTTTTGTTTTCATAAACAGTGGACGGGACTTGTTTTGTTGTCTAAATGTAGTCTTATCAGTTCACATTAGAAAACAGAACAAGTTCACCCTCTATGATTTTTCTAATTGATTCTTCATTCAAAAAAAACGTCAGATCTACCTCATTTGCATCTGAGACATGTGATGTTATACAGTGCGCTGCAAAATGATAGGACCACCCTCGATTTTTGCGACTTTTGATTTTAAATAACTAAACATGGAAAATCATGCTTAAATTCGAATTTTATATACAAAAGTACGTTCAAATACCGTTTGCCAAATAATTTACTTTAAAAGGCAAAATTTTTTAAGCATTTCTTTATTTTACACCTGTCGCAAAATGATAGGACCACTACGTTTCTTTTTGATTTTCTACCTGCAATAACCATGTTTTTTTGCTTACTTTTTGCTAATTTTTATTTTTTAGGAAGATGGAAAACTTATGGGACATCCTCGTGAGGAATATTTATGCTAATGGAAAGACTTACGACACGATTTCACAACTCAAAAAAGCAGTTTTGCAACCATAGACGTCAATTCCACCACAAACGCTTCAAAACTTAGTGAACTCGATGAAAGGTCGACTACTTGACGTCATCGAGAAAAAGGGAGCATCTGGGAGCATTTGGTCCTATCATTTCGCAACAGATGTTAAATAAAGAAAATGTTATAATTTTGTTGCAATTTGTCCAGATAATGTTAAAAATGGTATAGATGCCTATTTTTGTATATGTTGTGTCCGATTTAGATTTCCGTCCGATTTAGATTACAGTCTATATCGGACGTCCGATTTTAGACTCAATCTAAATCGGACGTCTTATATAGATTAAACAATAATATAAACATGTTTAATATATGTTCTTAAGCGTTTTCTGTAGTTTTCTGCATTTTTCAAAGGTCTGTTACTGTCTTTTTCTGAAAAGAAAACCCAACTATGAAATAATCAATAAAAGACCTTTGAAAATGCAGAAAACTACAGAAAACGCTTAAGAACATATACTAAACATGTTTATATTATTGTTCAATCTATATAAGACGTTCGATTTAGATTGAGTCTAAATCGGACGTCCGATATAGACTGTAATCTAAATCGGACGTCCGCGATAAGTTCAATCTAAATCGGACGTCCGATTTAGATTCAATCTAAATCGGACGGAAATCTAAATCGGACACAACATATATATTTCTAGGATTTAAAAGCTATTTCGCGTTATTAAATTTCATAGCCAAAAAATGTAAAATTTAGGGGTGGTCCTATCATTTTGCAAGGCACCTTATAATTTAAAAAAAAGGATCCAGTTTGTCGGTAGCCCGGAGAAATATTGGGGCTATTTATGGAAATAACTCACCTTCTCGTAACGCAATTCAAAGTTGATTTGCTAAGTTTAAAAAAGAAGAGATTTCACTCGAAGACAAAGAGCATCCAGGAGCGGCCTCTCAGTTAAAAAATGAAAAAATTAACCAGAAAATTCATGAGAACTCTCGGATTTCAAATCGTGAAATAGCAGATGCTAGCAGAAGTTCTCCCATACAACAGACTAAAACCATCCGCATAGTTTAGTTTTTAAACCGATTTATGGCTAATGAATACCGCACAACCTCACCGACTCAATGAAAGGACAGAGGTCCTCCAACATTGCTGCCCTTCTTTCCAGATACGAGAGGAAATCCTTTTTGTCCCGGCTAGTCACGGGAGATGAAAAGTGGATAGAAACTGTAGATTTTCAAAGGAAACGGCAAGAGGTTAGGCCTGGAGTTACTGCTGCGAAGGAGGTCCTCCCAGACCCCCACCAGAAGAAGTGCATGTTGTCGGTTTGGTGGGATCTCAAAGGGATGATACATTGGGAACTCCTTGACAATAAGCAGACTATTAATGCTTTATTGACCAGCTCAAAAAAACTCGATGAAGAAATGAAGAAAGTCTTTCGTCGACAATGCCCGGCCAAATACGGCAAACCTCACTCGCTCCACGATCCACGATTTGGTGTGTGAACTCCTGCCGCAATCACCGTACTCTCCTGACATTAGCCCCTCAGATTATCACTTTTGTTCTGTCAATTCAACATTCCTTCGATGGAGAGCACTTTCAAAATAAAGATGATCTCCAAAAGTGCCGCAAAAACTATTTTGACTCAAAAATAGAGGGAGAGAGGGAGAGGGATTTGAGAGAGGGATTGCCAATAAAATTGCCATGCAATTGCCAATAAAATGGGCGAAAGTAATCGAAAATAATGGAGAATATTTTGACCGATTTGTTTGTTTGGTTGTTAATAAAATCTAACTCAAAAATGTACCAACTTTCAACTTGCCAACCTAATAGTTAGGATTTGCAATGGTTCACGGCCATGTGTCTATAGGCTTTTGGAGTGATCACTTCACTAGGCCGGATAGCTCAATGGTAGAGCGCTAGACTCGGGAGAAATGAGATTGGGGTTCTTACTAGCTAGGGTTCTTACTAGCTAGGGTTCTTACTAGCTAGGGTTCTTACTAGCTAGGGTTCTTACTAGCTAGGGTTCTTACTAGCTAGGGTTCTTACTAGCTTTTTACTAGCTCTCCCCTGGTACAGCTTGTAAACTCTCCAAACCCTCTTACATATATTTTCTGAATATTAGAAATCTTCACCGTGTTCAGGCTTGTCAAAGTTGTTCATTTCTAAAAAATGCGTCTACTTTCTGAGGCATGGTCATTTTAGCAAACGAAAATCGTTTTTAAAATACATCTAACTCAAATTGCCAATTGTTTGAGTGAAGATAGATTATCAGAGACGGCACAATACCTTTAGTAAAACAATCTAGCTTTTGCTTTCTCAAAATATTTCAAATCATGCCTTTAGTCATTAACCTCTATGTCATCATTGACTTCAGTTGTTGTTTTTCGCGACAATAACGGCTGATGAACCCATGACGATTCCTGGCTGTAAATAGCATTTCCATCACTTTTCTGAGGAATACGAAGCCAAGCAGAGTACTCATACACACGGAGATATCTTGGGCTTAGTTTTGCTCTAAAAAGCAAACACAATTAAATTTTCACAAAAACAAACAGTAGTAGCTCCTTGTAGTTGGGGTGTCCAATCCAGTGAGCCATTCTGTTCCAAGTCCCCTTTGCCCGTGAGACATCGTAGTACAACTCATAAAGATGGCCTTTGGATATTTTGTTCAACATTTCCATGCCACCTCTCCGGACGAAAGTGACTGGTGAGATGCCGTATATCTGGAAAATTTTTATTAAAAATTCGGTCTAGTAAATAAAGCGATGTGTAGTTGACATGACCATGGCTTTTCTGTCTTGTATCATTTCAATTTTCACATCCTTAAATCAGGATGGTGGAAATAAAAACAGCGCTCACATATCTTTCCAAAAATAAAAAGATTGTAAGTCTCAGCCAATAATTGTTGTGTACTATTCAAAAGCTCTGAAACTCCTCTACAAAATAGCGCAAAAAGATTTTCAATTGGATTGATTATTGGAGATTTGGGTGACTTTTAAGTTGAAAGAGTCCCAAAAAAAGAGGCCTTTACAAACGGATTTTTTGCAAAAAGTTTAAGTGGCTAGAGGTGGCATTCCTGGTGTCAAAACTGTTTTTTTCTGTGTCATGATAGTTGCTTTTGCTGGAAATGAGCTGAATAATTTAGAATGATTACAAAAATCCAGTCTATTCAACTTTTTTTTGAATATTTTCCCACCTTTTCAAAATAATAGAAAGATTTGATGAGAGAACCCTCGAAAAAATTCTCATCACAATCGTTGAGGAGACGATTTTGGTGAACTCCATCGAGTCTCCACGAAACGTACGCTTGATCGAGATCTTCTTTCTGAAAAAATAGCAAGTACCGTAGTTTTTTGTAATAGAATGACACTAATTAAGGTTGATTTTGAGTTCGGAGTCGACTTTTTAGGAGGCTTGAATAGGAAATTTTAACAATAAACAGAATTTTATAACGGGATAGAGGAAGGGGAACATACAGGGTAACCAGAAAATACGGCGAGTTTTTTCTCGACCTTTTGATATCAAGTTTTTCTTTGGTTTTTGTGATGTTTCTTTTCTATTAGGTTGATGCATAAGTCTTTTCGTTCCTTTTCGTCTGCCGTTTCAAGCCAACAAATGCACCAATTAAACTACGGTTGATTTCATTAGAAAAACCAATTATTTTTCTGCAAAATGACATTAAAACGGGTTTAAAAATATTTAATGCCTGGATTTTCTTGAGAGTATGAAGTCGGGTAGTCAAAAAGGGCTAACTCGATGATGCGGTTTAGACACCCTAGCTAAAGAAAACCTATCTTCGTGTCAATAGATAAAAGATAGAGAAAAAAAAAGTTTGATATTTCGCCAAAATTTCAGAGAAATTCATTCAGCCCATTTTTCCGTAGAGTTTTTTATAGATTTTTACGAAAAAGGCGTTTTTCACTCTCGAATTTGCTTGAAAGTGAACCGAAATTGATTTAAAAAGATGCAAATTGAACAAAAAAACACTTTTTTTATAGAGCAAACTATAGATTAATTGGTGAATTTGTTACTTTTTAACAGAAGTACGAAAAAAAACGAAAAGACTTATGCATCAACCTAATATAATGCTTGTTTACGTTGTTCTGATTAATAATCTTTGAATTTTAGGGTCTTTCTACGCCATGAATTCAAAAGAAGATCGTAAGAAAGCGCGAATAACAATCGTCGAGTTGCACAAGAATGGCAAGAAGCCTCAAGAAATCATGAAAGCTACTGGATACAAGAAGGACATGGTCTACAAGGCTTTGAAACGTTACAAAGAGACCGGTGGAATTACAGATCGGCTTAGCAAATATGTTGAGGCCAAAGGTGGAAATTTTGAACATTTAATGTAGGAATTTTTGATAGAAAAGATATTGTTGAGCTTGAAGTTGTTAATTCTTGTTAAACTTTCGAGATAAATCTTTTTAAAAAGTGCTGAGGGCTAAATTTGACGATGCGCAAAAAACTCGCCGTATTTTCTGGTGACCCTGTATACGCGCAGAAGACACGGCGCAAGCACTGGGTAGGGCGACGATTCTTCAAAAGAATGACTTTTAAAGAGATGAGACTTCCATTTAAAGGCGGGAAAAGAGAGACGCCGTCTCGAGCACGGTAGCTTACGTGTATTTTAGAATTTCGAGTTGGAAAGTTGCTTTTAGAACCCGTACTCGAACTCCGGGAATTGGGGCTTTACTATATAGTCCGTTATCTGATTTTTATTGAGCAGAAGCAAAAGACATCGTAAAACAGAATGATATGTAATTTTCCATTGCAGAAAATACAGAAAATACAAAATTAAAATAATCAAGCCAATCACCTCGAAACTAATGTAATCAATGATTTTCGGGAACAGCCATTGATTTACTTCGAAAAGCCGATAAAAACGACGAGATGTCTTCTGAAATGTGTACAAAGTGTTCCAGGGCAGAGATTCGGCGATTTTCAAGATCAATTCGTTGGGAAGATCTTTTAAACCGCGATGAGTTGAGCACATTTTGAATTTGCAGTGAGAGTTGAAATCGAATCGAATTTTTGGGCGAAAAGAAGCTGACACAAAACGGCTGATATTGATAAGCAAAAGAATTTTGTAATAAAATAGCGTGCCCCTTATCCTTGGTGATTCAACATTTTCATTGAATTGGAAAAAAAATTGGGTAAGAAAATGTGCGAAAATGAAAATTTAATTCGAAATTAACTTTGTGCGACTTTGAAACTTTTCTATTTCCGTATTGAACCTTTACCCTGTCTACAACGCAATGTTCGTCTCTTTCCTTGCCATATTTGCAATTCTAATAGATTTATTTGACTTATTATGATAGCATACATCTGGCTTGGCTTTTTGGCGTTTGCAACATCCCCGAGTTAAATGTTAAATGTCCGCCAAAAAAAATCTCCAAATATCGCCAACTCGCGCATATAAGTGGCCCAACTTTTGGTAGAAACACCGCATTCATTGAGAAATACAAACAAAGTCGTTAATTTACTCGCAGCTACTCTAAAGCCTCGATGACTCCAAACGATTTCAGAATGCTGAGGTTTGTTTGGTAAATGATTCAAAGGAAACATGGTATCCGTAAATCTAATCCAATCCAAATTCTTCTCTTTTTTTCTCCTCCCCATCAGCAATTCAATTTCATCAAATTTGAAATTAACATCGATGTCAATGTCAAAACAATTAACAAAGAGAAATGGGCAATTGAAATCTCTATCAGCTCCCATTTTTCTGATTGTGATTCGTCATTTGGCTGGAGATGAGGACTTTGTCGAGAATAATAAGCCTAATAAGTAATTTGCATAAAAGAATAGGCTGACTAGCAAAAGTAAACCGATTTCCTTCATTTTTAGGCAAAAGATGAAATTCTTCTAATGGAAATTTTTCGAAACCCAAATTTGAACCAAATCGTCTTATCGATTTGAGGTGCCAGGTTGAGGATTCTCTCTGACCCGTCTTGTTTCCGAAAACAAAAGCGATAAGCCAGGTCATTTTTACGATGAAAATTCTGCTTCAAACACTTTTCTTTGCTTTTCTTTCAGCCACGAAAAACTTTGAATTTCTTACTAGAAATTCAAAGTTTTTCGTGGCTGAATGGCGGTGAGAAGTTCTAGTGGGAGGATGTTTTTCTTTACTCGGTGCAAAAACGTTTTTTCCTAAGAGTTTATATGGTTTTTTTCTAGTTTAAGAACTCTACATAGCTACCATTTTAGCCAACTTCTACATCGAAGCCTACAAGTATTGTGCCTCAATTGGAGGAATTCCGGTAAAGATCACCAATGGTTTCGAGAACAAATACGTCTACGTTTCGGTTTTCGATAGTTGATCGGAGAAAAGTTTAAGTACAAAATAATCGTTTTCTGATCAAGCTGCTTACATTGGAGTTGAGAGAAAGATGAATGACACATGGATGTATGCTGATAGGACGGCGTTGACCTATACAAGTTGGGGGATAAGTGAGTCATTTTGCTTCGAATTCCTCGAAAAACACGTTTTGCACCTCCTCGCTACGGGTCTATTGTACTGTTTATCAGACGTAAAAACCATAAAACATTTCAGACAGACATGCTAAAATTAAAACCCGATACTAATTCCTACATTTTCAGCTTTTTAAGGGGATGGGACAAATGGTAGCCTTTTTGCGCACCTTGCGCAAATGTCAATTCGGCATGAAAATTATAAATCTAAATCCTTAAAAAACTTCTATTCATTTATTCAAAACTCCAAAAGAAGTCAACACATGAGCGAGAAAAATAGTATTCTCGAGAAATAAAACGAAATTTGTACACACAACGAACTAAACAGGTTTGGAAATCCTTGATATTTAGACGCCTTGATTCGCTGGATGGTAGCCGGCCGATTGAGGATACCTGAATACAACAAAGAATTACTTATCGAAAGCTGCAAAATAAGAGCTTGATCTCTTTGAAAAGGATCAGAATGGTCCATATTATGCCGGAAATTGGCCCATGAAATTTATATCAAATACAGGGTGTTCATTATTTATGGGGACCAACAGATCACTAGGTTTAAAGCGCTAGTTTATGTATAAGATCACAAGCAACTTAATCTGCTACTTCAACTAGTTAAACTAGGTAATTCTGCTTTTACAAATTAAAAATATACTTACGTAGCAAAGCCGTAGGGTTGTGGCGCTGACGGATGGCCGTGCTGCACGTGAACGGTAACCGCTAAAATTAAAGTAATCTTACGGCAAAATAATTATTTTTTTATTTTAGAAAAAAGGAAAACTTACGAGGAGCCTGCTTGAAACGTTTCCTCCTGGTTGAAACACTAAAAACGAAATGTTAAGACTCAAACTGAAATATTTTACAATTAGGTAGGTAGATAGAATTTATCTTAGAATCAACCTCAACCTGAGGTAACAACTCCAATATTTCAAAAATCATCAAGAAGCTACCACATGCAATTTATAATTATTTTAGCTTTTTTATAAAAGCAACTCACATGCAGCAACAGATGCAGCAGCAGAGCACGAGAAGCACGACGAATATGTTGAAAAGCAACGCACCGATTAATTCGATGTCGCGCTCCTCCGACTAAAAACAAACATATAACAAGTAGCGTAAAAAAGACTATGTTTTACTTGATGTCTTGGAACCTAACCGTTAATTTAAAGCTAGTAAATAAACAAAAACTTTGCCAATTCATGTTTATTCTAGGTTGATTTGCTTACTAAAACCAAAAAGTGATAATATACGCAAAAACTTTACCTGAGATGCGTACTCCCAACGATGCAACAAACCATCGGCGTTGACGAGCTAAACAATCCACATGAATATAGGCACAAATATAGCTCGAAACCGCTAGACTTTAAAAGAATCGGTCGCCTCTATAAAAACTTAATCAAAAGGGGGCTTCTAATCACATCGCATTGATCCGCTAGATATTTTAAAAGAAACTAAGCGCCTGGCTAACAAATTCTTTGTTTAGTTTGCTTATTTAGAAAGTAAAAAAACAAAAACACTCACCGAGACCAACACGAAGAAGACGGACAGCTTCAACAGCAGCACTAGTGAACGAGACATCGCCTGAAAAACAAAAAAGCTTTAATCGTTTGGAAGCATTAGATCCAAATAAACAAAGAAAATGAGAAACTAAAAATTATTTCTCTAACAAGGCCTAGAGAACTAAAACAAAAGCGCAATAGCCGACTTGTGCAAGATTAGTTAGCAATACATTTAAATGCCTTAAAAAGTAGATAGCGCAAAAACTTAGAGTTGAAAAGAAAAATTTAAACCTTTAAGTCAGTACCTGACTAGCTAAGAAATGAAAGAGCCGAGCAAATGAAGCTATTTTTTCAAATGAAAAGCCTTAACTTTTAATGCAAACCATAGGATAAAAGCAAGCGCGTCAAATTTGCTTATGAATTGCAAAAACTTGGGTCTTGAAAAGTATTATAACAACGAAAAGCAAAATTAGACTTAAAAAATAAGACAATTAATGAGTGAAAAATGAAAAGAGCGACTCCTCAAAAATTTATAGCGCGAGTGCACATTTTTCAAATTTTGGGGCATCTCACTGTCACGAATTTTTTAGCACGAACCATTAGCATAACTTTTTAAACTGAATACCTTGAAATTTTCTGAGATTTTTGAAATTGGTAATTGAATAGCCTCGTAAAATTTGTGCTACACTCTGTCAAGAAATTATAGACGCACCCTGTTTTTTTGCTAGTTTTGAGCGCGCTATAAGTGCTAGCCCAGTGAAAAGTATTTTTTGATTTCTTTGACGTAAAAAGCATCCCATGTAAAATTTATCTTTGAACCATTCCCGGTTCGCCAAAAGCAGTTCACTCAAAAAAGAAGAAAACAGTCGAATCAATTTGTTTTCGCCTACGAAAAGCAAATTTTGACAAAGCAGAGCTAGGAATATTTAGGTGTTTACTAGCCTAGTAATCCGGTTACTAGCGTTGAATAGAGTTAACTCGAAACGATCGAATAGAATTTTTGCAGTTGTGAAGCAGAATTAATGTGTGTTTTTAAAAGTCGCGTTTATTCGTACTTCGTACTTCATACAAATATATAACACGAACAAAAACGCTTTTTTGTTTTTAAAAGAGCCATCAAGAGAATGTCCGTGAAGCCTGTAAAAGTCATTAACACAGTGCGGCTGTTAGATTAGGTGGAAAAGTACTCTGCCAAAAGTCTCAAAGTATTTTTGGTTATTTAACTTTGTGTTTGTCCAAAAACTGTGTGTTTTTGGTTATTTAACAAACCCTAAAATCCAAACTGAACTCTTGATTTTTAAATTTTTAAATCCAAAACAAAATATAACAAAAGAAAGCAAAAGAAAATGGTTTTTTTGTTTGGGTACACAGCCATGTCCTTTAGGTGCTAGTTGACTGTAGCCTATAATTAACAACGATTTCTGATATTGCTTCCTTGACGAACCGCGAGATTAAATTCCACTTGTGCTCGAGGTTAAATTTCACCCCGTTTCCGTCATCGATCACATATAGTACTGGACAATGAAATATGAAATATGAAAATTACATTAGGACGGTCAAAAGTTGCAAGATTTTAACAAAAATCCATAGCAAAAACTCACATTCGCGATATCCCCATATTTTGTGTAGTGTAGGGGATATCACGAATGTCAGTTTTTGCTATGGATTTTTGTTAAAACCCTGCAACTTTTGACTGTCCTAATGTAATTTTTTGCGTAGATTCCAAAAAACGGGGTTTCGAGACGATTCCAGCACTCTATCATAGAGAAAAATTGCGTTGAAAACTGAAAATTTTATAACTCCACTTTGCGCGCGCTGAAATACACTAGAAATTTCCATATTTAAAAAAATTCTTAAAATCCATCGTAGAGATCTTGATTAGAGCTTTCAGGAAATATCTAACACTTAAGGTCTACTTAAGATCAATTTACATTTGAAAGTGGCTGTCAAAATAGTGACAAGTACGTTAAGGCGTACTTATAATTTTTTGCCGATGGAAGGAGACGGAAGGAGAGATAACAACTAGAGTGTGCTCCCGTCAAATAATTCATTTTCTTTGCACAAGCTTAAAAACACGCGAATTCAGCAATTCACAACTAGCACTTAAAAAGTTGAATCGTCACTGAAGGTTGTTTAAAATCGGTAACATCAAGTGCCAAGAGAGCGCCGAAAATAGCAAAGATTAACACCTGACTGACAGCAATTTTTTGTGAAAGAGAACGCTTGACCTTGACTAGAATCACATCACTTTTCTCTCTTTCGTTCACGATTTTGTGTGGAAATGTGGTGAAACTCGCTCATTTCTGATAATGTGATCTTTCTCGCGTCTTTTCCTCGGCTTGACTTACGCAAAGAAAGTCCATTCGCATGGATTTCCGATTTTTGTTTGTCTCGAAAACACGAACTATCAAATCATGAGAGAGCGATATTCACTACTTAAGGAGATGGACAATAAGAAACAACAAAATCAAAAATTGCCTTCTTCTCGAAAATGGTTGGTTTTAACTTTGAATTTTTATGCTTTAAGCCTTAGAACCTAAAGTTTCTCTAACTCTTATCTTGTAAAAGTACAAAAGTTAGCACTTGGCCCTTTTAGCGGTGACACTTTGAATAGAACTACAAAATTAGCATAACTCGATCTTTTCTATTGTAAAAGTTCAAGAGCTCCCATTGCATATGCAAATTTTTGCAGTTGAAGGTTTAAAGTGGCGTCGGTGAAATGGAAAAGTACCGAAGCTTCTTTTAAAAAGAGTTTTAGAATACGTTTCTGCTTGTCGTTCTTGTCTTTTCGATATCTATTGCTGCTGAAGAGTTATCGAGAAAAGAATTGCTGAGTCTTTTGAATGTGAATGCAAGTCGGTCAGTTGATGAGAGCCGAAATGAGGAACAGCTGTCACCCGACAGCTTTACAGACATGCTCATGGATGCAAAGTTCATCAAGGTTTGAGAAAATCGTGAACAGCTTCTATCTAATTCAGGTTCCCGAAGATACACCCATTCTGAAACTTAAAAAGACGAATTTTCTGATGGCCACGAAAGTTCGTGAGTCATTTGACGCTCGCAGAGAGTGGCCGAAGTGCTGGTCAATCGGATGGATTCGACAACAATCGCAGTGTGGATCGTGCTGGGCGGTGGCGGCGGCTTCGGTTCGTTGTTGATAGACTAATTGACAAAATAAGCTTAAAAACAAATGTTGATGCTTCTAGAAAGAAGAAAGTTTTGCCTTTGATTTGAAAACAAGCAAGCTTTATCGTTTAGCTAGCTTTAAAAGATTTAAACCTTCGTCTTCAATGAGACAGTAACACCCATTGCTGATTATTAACTTTGGCGAACTAAAACTAAAAGCTATAACAATCTTTTCTTTCAGATGGCCTCTGATCGAATGTGCATCAACGCTCCATATTATCCAATGATGCTCTCCTCAGAGGATCTTCTGTCGTGCTGTGGCTCTTATTGTGGGAATGGATGCAGTGGAGGATGGCCAGATAAAGCACTCAATTGGTAAAAGCTCTGTTATACCTGAACGAACTTTACTGAACACTTCTCAATTTGTTCAATTCTAGGTGGGCCACCAACGGCCTTGTCACCGGCACCGACTACTCGGACCATCAAGGTTGCCGACCATACACGGTTCCCACATGTTCATGGCACAACGGCGTCTACAGCTTCCCGTACAATGGAGCGTATCGAGCTTGCCCAGAGACGTTCTCAGTTCCGCAATGCTATCAACAATGTCAGAATGGATACTTCAGAAACTACACTCAAGATAAATACTATGGGCAGCCGGCTTATCACGTTCGACCTGATGTCTCAGCTATCCAAGCCGAAATTCTTGAACACGGCCCTGTTGTAGCCACTTTTACCGTCTATGAGGACTTCAACAACTTCTACAAACGCGAATCAATCTATCAGGTACTGAGCAGCTTTTGATCAATCACTCAAACAATTTCAGCATCGAAGTGGCGGATGCAAGAGACCAGGCGGCTGTGGACACGTCGTAAAAATCATTGGATGGGGTGTTGAGGTAAAGATTTAACGAGAACCCATTAAATTCTTTAAAACTGCACGTAATCTTTCTAGTTTTTCAAATCATCATAATCCTCAAATTTTAGAACCAAATCCCCTACTGGTTGTGCGCAAACTCGTGGGGCACTCAATGGGGTGACGGTGGCTTCTTCCGCATTCGTCGCGGAACGAATGAGTGCGGAATCGAAACAAACGTGGTCGCAGCTATGCCAAGGAAATGAATGCAAGAGCTCGGGATGTAAATAGTGTACATTTTGCAAATAAATCATTTTGGCTTGATTAAAAGCACCAGTGGGTGTTTGACATGGTTAAACGAGGAACCTTAAAAGCTTAAAGGAAGCTTAAAAGTTTTTTAAGCTTCCTAAGTTTTTTGAGTTTTTTAAGGTTTTTAAGCTTTTTGGTGTTTCCTTAGTCATAGGATATTCTTGGGAACATTTTAAGACCAAATTCAAGTTGATCGGTCAATTGAAAGTTGAGAGATGAAGGAAAAAAGAATCCGGTACCGGCACCGGAGTCCTCTTAAGACTTTAGTACTAAGAGCTAATACTGAATTTCAATACTTTCAATACTCAAAGCTTTTCAGGCCTGAAAGGTTATATTCTAGAATAAATGCAAATTATACAAAGCGGAAATGGAAAGAAGAAACACCGAAAATCCGGTAAGAAATTGGGGGGTAGGGTTAGTATTTTGTCCTATGTGTGGCCCGCTTCGCTGTCGCTCGCCGGGCATGTGGCCCACCCGCCCATTTTACCGCTCCCAGAAAGTGGTCCTAGGCCGGCGCAACCTCCGGTGGTAAGAAAGTTAGTATCAAAATTCCGAAAAATTTATTGACATTTGGCCCCGAGGACCCAAATTAGGGCCCATTTTAGGGGCGGATAGTTAATAGAAAAGTGAAAAATATTAACTAGTGGCAATAGTTAATAAAAGAGTGAGAAATATTAATTAGTGGCACTAGTTAATAAAAGAGTGAGAAATATTAATTATCCGCGCGGTCTGAATCATTTTTTGAGCCGATTTTTGAATGCTAACTGACCAATCAATTACATTTAATTTTTGGAAAAAAAATTTCCCAAAAACCTGGTGAAAATTAATAAAAATCCGAAAAATATTAACTATCCGCACCGTTGCCGTTAGTTAATATAGTTCACTTTTTATTAACGATTGCCGATAGTTAATATAATTCACTTTTTTACTAACTATTGCCGACAATAAATACTGACGTTTTGCCGAGAGGCCTTCGGGGCTAGAGAGCATGCAGCAACCTTAGGTATCTAAGGCGGGGCTAAGGTTGCTGCATGCTCTCTAGCCCCGAAGGCCTCTCGGCAAAACGTCAGTTGGGTGGTCGGGAGATAAGAAGAATCCTTCGACACTATTAGGAGAGGAAGCCAAAATTTAGACAGAACTATAGACAAAAAGTTTAGTTTAGACAGAACAAAGTTTAGACAGAACTATAGAAATGATGAAAATACTTAAATTTTTGATTTGCTTTGCGTTTACTTGCAAGATTTTAAGATAAAAAATATTTATTGTCCCAACCCTTCCCGCCATGACAACAAAAAAAAGAAATTAGTTAATTAACAAATTCAAGTTGATCGGTCAATTGAAAGTTGAGATATGAAGGAAAAAAGAATCCGGTACCGGCACCGGAGTCCTCTTAAGAAGCAAAGCAAAGCAAAGTCATTCCACTCCCGGATTCGATCGAAGTAGTTGAGGAAAGTGTTGAACGAAGAGTTCATTCTGAAATTAATGCATAAGTAAACAGCGTAGATATGTTTTAATCGTCATTGTTGTTATTATTAAGAAATAATACGAACTTGGCTATTAAAATAATGCGATTCGGAGGCTAATCGACGCTTTTTCTCATCAGATGGAGGCGACAAGATGACACCATCGCCAGGCTTTTCGCTGTTCATAAACGCGTGAAAGGCGGTCTGAAATGTGCAGCTATTAGTGTTTTCAAGTATGTCAGTTTATATAAACCTAATCTTTTGATTAAACTAGTACGAGCAGAGTAAAATGTAAATACAATGCCAGTATCCAAAAGGAATGAAAAGGGAGATATTTGCTCCTCCCTGGTCGATCAAAAAAGAGCAAAATTTCAATTTTCTCAATAAATATAGAAATTTTTGGATTTTGCCTTTCTCTGAAATTTGGATAACGTGAAATTTCTCTGTGAAATTTCCTGGAGATTTCTGGATAATTTCCTGCTACCGAGCTATGAAATACTCACCATGAAAGATCGAGTTGTCCAAGCCGCACTCCATTGCGCGTCGCAAGCCTCCACGCAAAGCCTAGAAATAGCTTCAGGAAATACAATTAAACAATATTTAAAAATTAGTAAAAAATCTTATAACTGATAGACTCAACAAACCTTTCACCGGGCTCAAAGCGTCCATTAGGCGTGTCCATGTAGAGGGAAATGCCGCAAAATGGGTAGCTCGTCGGGTAAACGATTCGGCCATAATAAATACCACCTAAAATATGATGGATATTAAGATTTGATCAAAATAAACAATAGAATAAATTGCAGATTTTTTTCTCACCTTCATAAGGAGTTCCGGGAGTTCCATTCAAGGCAAACACCCAACGAAACAAGTCGCCATCGATTGGAGACACGAGGATATTTTCGATTGGATCCTTAGATTTTTAAATTAATTACATAGATATTTCTTTAATACAAATATTCTACATTGATGCGAACCCAAAATTTCCCAAGATCTGCTATTAGCTATTTCAGGTCTGCTATTAGCCATTGCTATTTCAGTTACCTACACCCTCAGATTACCATTTGTTTCGATGGTTAAAGCAATTCCTCTATGGAAAACTTTTCGATGATCATGCACAAGTCAAAAACGCACTTGATTTCTACTTTGCGCAGAAGGACGCTCAGTTTTTTGAGAATGGTATCAAGGAATTGTGCCAAAGATGGCAAGAAGTCATCGATAATAATAGAGAATACTTTTTGCATTAATGTTCTTTTTTTGCGTTCTATGAAATAAACAAGTTGTTGCCTAAAACGATCGCTTATAACTTGCCAACCTAATATAAAATCGTTTTTCAGAGAATATTCAAGTTATATGTTACTTTGAAATTCTTTTTTTGATCACCAACCTCTTCGATGCTTTTCAGATACCTTTGTAGCCGACTTCTTGCCATTGTAGATCAAAATTATGTAAATAGAAAGAGTTTATGATTAGGAAATCAGATGGATTAAGTAGGTTGTCCAATAGGTGAGCAAAAAGGTTCGAAATCGAAAGAGAAAGATCGACTTTTCGAAAATTGATTTATCTGAAAGGCGATGACTCAGCCTTCGCTCTTATCAAGCTTATTTCCTTGCAGAACGGCTTTTTTGAAGTTCAAACTATGGTGGAAGAGTATAAACGAATTTTTTGGTGAACTGTTTTATAAAAAATGATACTTCTGCATCTTTGCCGGGTGTGATTTTAAGTGAAACCAGCAATGTTTTGTTTACCTTTCTGGCTCAAATGCCATTGATCACTTGTTATTTTGAAAAAGATTCTCGACATCACTTTTAGGAGAAAAGCTTATTGCAGGATTGATTTATGGGATCTTTACGGTTAAGAGTGAGAAGGTCGCCGAGTGAATACCCTAACGTGAGGAGGTCGCCGAGTGAATACACGAGAATTTGAACCCGGAACTGCCAGTTGAGTTGCTGTGTCCTGAATGGGCCTGTGAAGGGCCTTCAGTAGTAAACGAGGTTCTTTAGTAGTAAACGAGGGCATCCATGTACTGGAATGAATTAAATTTTAGTAAGATCTTTTCGACAAACCTTTTTGTGAAATTAAATGTGATGCAGAAGTTGAAGGCCTTGGTATTCGATTTTATTTCAATGAGCACGTATGGAATTTGTTGCGATAGCTAATAAAGTAAACATAAACAGTAGAACGAAACTGAAACCACCATGTTTTTCCATTCATCTAGTTTCTTAAGGCAGCGTGGATTTCGAAAGGTGATCCCGATTTCTGTGGTTTGCCCCGAATCGAGAGTGAAGACAGGCTATAAAATAAGCCGAGGTTTAAGGACAATAATTGGTCTGTTTGCCAATTACCTTTCTATCACTATAATTTCGATTGTCGCGACCAGGGTAAATGAATCGCAACCCTGCTTTGTCTGGTTCCCAACGCAAAAACGTGACCGTCAGTGCTTCTTTGGTGACATTTTTGAGCACAAAGTAAAGTAACGTTCCGTCAAATTTGGTTCCTAAATAACCGTGAGCAATGGTGATGACGCAAAAAAGCACCTTGAACTTGACAATCACCAAATTGCTGCACCTCGTCGCTATCACGAAGGAGCGGTCTCATCAAATCTCGACCACCGAGCAAAGGCCGTTGTTTCATAAAGGATGGCACCCAGTGTCTGTAAAATTGTAAAACAAATGAGAGATAAAAAGTGGCCCAGAATATTACGCACTAGACATCGCGCAGATCATCGGCTTATGGAAGTTAAAAAAGCTTCTATTGAACTTTTTTCTGACAGACATATTCAATGCAATCACCTATCTTGACTTTTTCCTTGAATACCAAGTTTGTAAGAGCTCTAAGTGGTAGACTCAAGAAAATGAATAGCTCCAATCGATCCTCCAACCCCGGAAACCCCCGGGTACAAATCTACAGCTGAATAATATCATTTACAAAGCAAAAGAAAAATCTCTGTGTAAATGACTCGTGAGGTGTTCTTCGTGCGGCCTCGTAATCGCCCTCGATCTGGAAAACCGTTCCGGTATAAGGGGCTTTCCTTTCAATCAGGAATCAATAAAGGTGTAGGAGTGGTGAGCGATTGAGCTGCGTCGCTTTTGTTGGGTTCTTTTTATGTGTGATTTACCGCTTGTCTGTATATGATTTTTTATGTTTTACAGATCTGCTCCACAAAAGCAAATGCGACGAGTTTTTGAAACAAACAACCGAAAGAGTTTTGTGTAAAGTGCTAGGTTGTGATTACAAATCAACTCAACACCAGGCAGGCACCAAAATCGTTCGTTGATCAAGAATTTTGAGTGAAAGTGGTATTCTTGTTCATCTTATAGCTAATCTTAGACTTCTCAATTTCTTATAAATAGTTAGCCTTAAATCTAGCTTTCAAATGAGCTGAGTCTTCCAAACTTAAGGCTCCAAAAAGTGGCCTTCTTGAACAGCTTTAGTAAAGTGCATCACCTCTGAAGCTGATAATTTAATGCTGTCCGCATCGGAAATCTCAATATCTTGCACTACCCTCGTGGAAGGGAATGGTTTCTTCAGCGTCGTTCGCCCCTTCACTTCTTCGACAATATAATTCGGTGGCACTAATCCTTGCTCGAAGGATGCTGGATCGTGTTCGGTATGTTTTTTTCTCAAGTCGACTCACAAGGGAAGCTCAACTGGATAGGCTGGCCAAATGACATGAGCCATACTCGATGCAGAATTTCACGCTGAGCACAATGCTGCTTTCCGTTTTTGCTAAACGGCACTCTGTGAAAAGTTATACGCGTTTAAAGTTTTATGAAGAGTTTTAAAAATCAGACATAGACCGTAAAAACCGGACTTTTCAGATACGGAAAAGTGAGGGGGTGGCCGAGTGATAGTAGGTTAAAATGCTACAAGCTGATAAGGGCCACCTCATGGCTCAATGTTGGTTTATTACCCAAATCCTTCTACCCAGCCCAACCTTGGTCTGTTTCCATAAAACAATTTTGAAAACGTGAAGACTTCTCCAAAGAATCGAGCCCGAGCGCTTCCCGCTGGCGGCGGACTTAGAGACGGGTGGGCTAGCCACTCGGTCATGTCATCCTGCTATTAGCCTTCGAAGCGGGCGAGCTAATAACTGCTCGCGCCGCAAAAAGAGCCGCGGTAAGGCCTCGATTTTAACTTAGAATTTCTAAGGGCACGATTTTAGAAAAAACGGCTGAGCCAAATGAAAAGTGCCAAAACAAAAAGCTCAAACACTGCCTAATTATCGACTCAAACTTATTGATTTAAAAAACTTTTCTAGTTTTTTTAACTAACTTTTTTAACAGTATATTACTGTAACGAGAACCAACTCTAGAGAAAGATCGATTGCTTATCAGTGAGTTCAAGGCAAGGGAACCAATTGCGATGGGTCGGCCCAAAATTTAGCTTAATTTTAGCCACATCTGAAATGTTTGAAAGCTTTTAAACAAAAATCGATTTCAGCAATGGAACAAACGTTTCGCCCGTCCAGAAATCGCTACGTGTATTGGGAGATAACAAAAATGATAGGTTATGTTGAATTTCTCTATTTTGGTGTAGTTTCTGGTGTTATTTTCCACCAAAAGTGTGACGGAAGTTCCCTGCCACCCCTTCATTGAAAGTGATCTTCCTGTGTTGAAAAGTGATCAATTGTCAAAACTTTCTTGTTGGGTTTATGACAAAAGTGAAATAAAATGAATATACTAAAGCCATTGTAATACTTTTCCCACAACTGTGACAAGCTATGTGACATAAATGTCACATAGCTTTTACCGACAATCAAAGACAGATCTGAATATTCTACATTCTCTTCATTACTTTTGTTATGAATCCAAAATAGTAGTTTATCACAAAGGTCAAACAAAAAAATAACAACAAAGCAAGAGTTACAGATGAACAAAATCTGAAAAACATAATTCCAGGAAAGTCTAGAACGAAAGGAGCTTTCCAAACAGAGATTTCAAGAACAACTGCAAAATCCTAATAATGAAAAAAAGATCGATAAATTATGCTAAAATTTATAGATCCAATAGGAATATTTGAATTTGAAAAGCTATAGAGATTCAAGGAAAGAAATATGAAACTATTCTAGGGCCATCTTGTCTTTCCTTTTCTTGGTTATCGCATAAAATCTTTCCAAAGCATGAAGTCTCACTTCAAGAACACTCCTAGATTTCGTGGCTGAATGTTCGTGAATCCAACGCATCTCCTCGTATCCACGATTTGAGATCAATGTCAGCCAGGGTTCTCCAAGTTTTGGGAACTAAAATTTTCCAAATTTTCTTTCCGATGAATTGTACTCAAGTTTAGGGTTGTTTTAAAGGTATTTTTGAATCCAAAGCTGAAGTTGGCTTTTATGATCTGGCTTTTGGTTTATTTTCTAGCGAGGGAATGGTACTAAATAACTGTAGCGTTTCCAAATGAGACCTAGCCTATCCAATGCATTTTTTTCACGCTGCTTTCGAATCCGATTTTAGTTTTTGCAGAATGCATCGGAAAAGCGAGATTTTTGACAAACCTACTACTTATAGAAAGCTACTAGAAAACAAAGTTCAAAAAACTCCGTCAATTTCTGAAAATAGCCGCTTGTTTGACATGGTATGATTGTCTAGAAATTCCATATTCCCTTGTAGGTCTCTGGTTCGCCAGAAATCTGACATGAACCTAGCTTCTGGCCAAGTCGAGGCCTTGCTTTGCCTGCTTCCT